CTACAGTAAATCAATTCTCATTTTCAACCACACATTCTTCAAATAATATTTTCCATCACATCAATAATTTTTTCTTCTTTTTCAACCACACATTTCCCATCATATCACTATTCAAAAATCAATTCTTCCCCAAAAAATCTCTACCAAACACACTCTAAGTGAGTAAAATTTAATAACGATATATTGATAAAGAAACACAATAAAATATTCTACATTAGAAAACATGCCTATATATTCGGGACAAGAGAAAAAAGAAACTCAACTTATATAATTGGAACGGAGGAGTAATATCTTGGACACTTCTTTAGTAGCATTCATGGTAGATTCGATGTCGGCACATTAAACATTGACATCTGCTAACGATTGTTGTATCACCTTCAAAATAAATGCCATTTTCTGATAAAAAAAAAAAAAAAAAAAATCTCACGACATTTAAGATTAATTATGTATGGTATTGTCAACACTTTGCCTAAAAATTATAACTCATGTCTCGAATGTAATTCAACCTAATCACTAGAATCAAGTTCGAAAATTCATTCNAAAGCGTATCGGATTCTTCGTAGATTGTTTCTCCATGTAGATCCATATACCGATATATATATATATACACACAAACACAAAGAGGTATCTGTATGTATATGTATGTGTGCGTTATAGAGAGATATAGAGAAGATGTTTGGGACTCACTCTCTATTATCTGTACTGACTGTAAATGAAAATTGGTGTAAACTATGAACAAGGTGAGGCGAGGAGTTAGCAGTATATAAATTACATAAATAGTCATTGAAGTTTGAATAAAATTTTAAATTAGTCATTAAATAATTAATTTCGTCTTCTATTTAGTCGATATATTTTACTACTCCATCTGTCTTAATTATATAAACTTGTTTCGTTTTTCACATGAATTAAGAAATCTTCTTTAATGTCATTGAAAAATTAATTTTTGTCAAGATCTTTCATAGTTTATACCTATTTAATTTTCAGTATATAAAACTAAATTATTGTCAGAACAAATAAAGAATTTGAATAAGAAGAAGAAACGAGAGTTGTTCCATGTTTTCAATGAGGGAGATATGTGTGTATTTAGATGATTTCAAGAAATTGACATATTAAGTAAGGAAAATTTAATAACGGTATATTGGTAAAGGAAAACAACAAAATATTCTACATTAGGAAACATGCCTATATATTTGGGACAAGAGAAAAAAGAAACTCAACTTATATAATTGGAACGGAGGGAGTAATATCTTGGACACTTCTTTAGTAGCATTCATGGTAGAATCAAGTTCGAAAATTCATTCCGAGTCCAATCTCTTTGGGCACATATCGGTTTCAAGCACGATCTTACGTCATGAATCGTAATTTTCATATAATAAACATTAAAAAAAAAAAAAAAAGGAATCGTGTTATGCGTACATGGATTCTTTCACAAATTTTATACAGTTGTGTTTCTGTGATTGGCTGCTACAAAAAAACTATTGTTTCCCTATATAAAATCTGTGAAAGATTTCCTTTACACTTAAAATTATACAAAAAAAGTCACGACAGAATTAAAACAAGAAAACTAGATGGAATAGATCCTTTAAATGATCATTAGTTTACGTAGAAGAAGAAGCGAATAATTATATAATACTATTTAATTTTCAGTGACTAAATAGACTATAGAAATACTTTAATGACCAATTTAAATTTTGCTTGGACTTCACTTACCATTATTGGAATTAACTCCTATGATACTATCTCCTTTTCCGAAAAGACATGTTTACCCTCAGTAGTGGATGGTATAGAATGTAGGGAAAAGGGTGTATTGGTAAAAAGATCTAGATAAGAAGATTGGGATATGGCATTGGGCCCAATTCCCTAATTTCTTCTGAGTGAAAATTA